GATCAGTATTAGTAGTTCTCAATCCTCCCTCAAGCAATGTGATACATAAAGATGGTAGGTGGATGTCTACAACTCCTTCACTCTTCACCACCTCCATGGCAGTTGCCCTAATGCATGCCAGCAATATCTGTTTCCTGGAGCAGAGCAGCTGGGCTCTTAGCTGGGCTCTCTGCTTCCACTTCACCTCCTACAGTCTATTCTTCACACATCAGCCTGAGTGATCCTTTCATATAATACATACTATTATATCATGTCACTCAAAACCCTCTAATGCTTTCTGTGTCACTCAGACAAAAAGCCAAGTCCTAAAGAGCCAAAAAGGGCCCTTTATAACCTGCAACCCCCACTTCTCTGATCTAAATTCTCTCCTCTTTATTTTCACTCACCCATTCTGGGCTCCGTGCTTTTCTTTGCATGCGCCTGGGACGGCCTCACGACAGGGCTTTTGCACTTGCCATTTCCTCTACATGGGACATCCTGACTCCAGGGGTACATGTGGCTCACAGCCTCACCTTCTTCAGCTACAGTATTTGTTCAAATGTCACCTCCACAGTAAGGCCTTCTCTGGCCACCCTGTCCAAAGTCAAAACTGAGATGCCAGCTGCCCTGATTTTTTCCTTAGCACTTATCACCATCCAATATTTTCTTCATTTAATGTTTCTGTCTTTCTTCCCAACTTGAATGCAAATTCCATGAAAGCAAGGATTTGTGTCTGTTTTGTTCACTGCTAAATCCCTAATGCCTAGCCCACAAGAGCTCAAGAAATATTTGTTGAATGAATGAGAAATTCTCCATCCACCTAACAGTACTCCTTTTCCCTCCTACTCACTAAAATACAACATAAAAGAGCCATTAAAGGCATAACTCTGCATCCAGTATAAGTTACTAAAAAGTTATCCCTGCACATTTTAACAATTCTTATAAAATGAATGAGATAGCCAATCGCAACACCAAACTGGGATTGAGGATCAAGTAGATTATTTCTGAGCCTGTCCGCTCTGTGCCAGATTAGGCCCTGTCAAGGCTGCAACATGATTGCAAGGAGTCCACAAATCCTGATGAGCAGCAGGCATGGCCTGAATATTGGTAAATGTTTCACATGTACTTACAGTCCTCTTTTTCTTTTTCTTTTTTTTTTTTTGAGACAGAGTTTCGCTCTCGTTACCCAGGCTGGAGTGCGATCTTGGCTCACCGCAACCTCCGCCTCCTGGGTTCAGGCAATTCTCCTGCCTCAGCCTCCTGAGTAGCTGGGATTACAGGCACGCGCCACCATGCCCAGCTAATTTTTTGTATTTTTAGTAGAGACGGGGTTTCACCATGAAAGAGTATGCAGATACTGCTGGGATCCACAACACAAACTGATATAAATTCACAATACCTTTTGGTAGTTACATATTTAATAGACCAATGGATACTGCAAGTACAACCACGAGTGTATGAGGTTTCACAAACTTTTTCTAAAGCTATAAAAAATGGCCTCATGCTTGAGGAGATGCTTGACCAAATGGCTGCAATCCATAAATTAAGTTCCCTCTCCTGCCTCCTTTTTTAAAGTATGCTATCTTTGATGGAAGACTATAACTCTCTATTTGCAAACAACTTTTTGAAGGGAAGGGGAATCCCTTGGACTATAAGACTGGGGGTAAATTTTGACTCAGGAAACACTGACAGCAACCTTTGGGCATGCTTAATGACTAGCCCTTAAGTGGCATAAAACAGGGAGCTGCCACGTTCTGATTTAAGGGTGTGGCACCCAAATCCAGAAGAATTGCTAACTGTTGCACCTGACATCTTTTTTATGCTTTTGTGCTTTTCTTTTTCTCTTTGCTTACACGCAATTAATTGTAAGTATCCAAGAGGCCAACAATGCACACGAAGTGGGGCAGGGGGTTGGGGAAAGTGATGACAATCTTTAGGGAAACAAAATTTAAATAATTTAAGTGGCCTAAAATAATTCTCACTCTACTTCAAAACTACATTGTGTCAATTTGGAGCTTTTCTCTTTACTATACCTGAAAAAGGCTCGAGAAAGTCCTATTCTGAAGAACCTGGTTTTGGTGTATCCCAGATAAATGCCTTCTACCATTGATTGATCCTCCCTGGCTCAGTCATTTGCACGTTACCTGTTTCCTCTAGCCACTGTGTCAAAGGCCTTTAGCTGAGCTAGTCTGACTCCCATCCTATGCTTTCTCTTCTCTAAGTTTCTCTTCGCTCAACTATTTCCAACTGTATTATTTGGTTCATCTTCCTTACCTCATTTTTCATGTCATGAATTTAAGTTGTCAAGTGGCACTAAATCTTAAAACAAATCTGAAGAATTATTAGGGTAAACTGAAAACACCAACTAATCTCTTAGCTTCTTTTAGTTACATATTCAATCTTGTAGTATTTGGATATCTCTTTAGGACATATGCTTCTAATAACTAGCTGCCCTTCTCCTTGAAGACACTATTTTAGCAACAGCTGGGACCTTAAAGTCCCATAATGTCTGTGCCAAAACATTTTAGGCATCATCTAAGCTAACCCAAACTCCTTATCTTACAAATCAATAAACTGAGTCTCAGAGGGAAGACTTTTTTCCTAAGATCTTTACCCAATAAATGATTTCTCATTTTGCAATACTTTAAAATGCTCTTTTCTTTCCAATGATAGTCTGCTTGCTACCACCTCAATTACTCCTTCACCAACTGGTTTTTAAAGGAAAGATGATGATTAATGCCCTCAAGTGATGGTATACTTCCTTAAGAGGTTTTTAGGGAGTTATCTATTTTATTCTATGATTTCAAGTTCCAAATTATTCATGCATTTTAACTGCATACCATGAATGTATGTAAGTAAGGGATTTCTGTAAGTATACATACTAGAGGAACAAACCCTGAGATAATAAAGTGGCTTAGTAAGGAGTTTATGTCTTAATCCTAGCTCTGCTACTAATTACCTGTGGCAAGTCACTTCAGGTGTCTTTTTTTCCACAGGGAAGATAAGAAAGGTGGGCAAGTGGCATGATTCTCAACTTTCCTTGGATTCATTCAAGGTTGAAATAAGGTCCAAATATCTAATGAAAACCGAGTTTGCTTACTCATGACAAAGCTGCACAGGCTAAAATGTCAAGCTTACTTTGAAGTCACACTGGGCAGCTTGTGCTGATCAAGTTCTGATTGGCATATATACATCTCTTCAACTAAAATTGCAAAATTAATTACTTTTCGTTTGAAAGACAAAACTAAATATACTTGGCTCACAGGGAAATAGTGACAAAAATGAAGCTTTCACAGTACAGAGGTGGGAGTGGAAGGAGGAAAAAAGCAGATTTGGCACAAGGAAACAGCAGCGCACATAAATATAAAATTTCACCAAGGAACTTCTGTGAAAGTGTCCAGATGCAAAGCATTCTATGTCAAATCTTAATTCTTGAAAACAGCACTTGACAAAGTAGGCACTCAGAGTTGGACTATAAAGTACTTTTTCTTTATATTCACAGTAAGTATCCAACTAGATTATATCGCACAGAGAACTTAAAAGAGGGGTTCTCTTCAAGGAGTTGAAATCTCTTGACGCAAAATACAACAGTTCATTCAGCCATGTTCAACCTGTACACTTAAAGGGCATCAGCAGGGTGATTACCTTTCATTTTCAATCTACAGGGACTGAAATCCGAAGTCATTGCCAACTGCTGCCTCACAGCCTCACTGTGTAACTGCCAAAGAGGGAGAATGTATGCCACCAAAGGGCCCTGGATTGGGGCATAGGAGACGTGAGTTCTAATCCAGCTGGCCCCAGGGGCAATTCCCTATTCCCAGAACAGTACTTTGCATGTAACTGATGCTCAATGAATGTCAACTGAGTGGAAATGCAAAAATATCCACCATGTGCCAATTTACATTATATAGGAAACATAAAGATCTTTGTGTCCCTGCTCTCAAAAAACTAAAATCCAATTATGTAAAACATGGACAGTTTGTTGGGAGGAAGATAGTGACTACTGCTTGGCAATTACTACGAGGCTAAGGATTTACAGTTGTTATCTTGAAAAAGCCTTGCAAAGTAAGCCAAATATTCCTATCTGACACATAGAAAACCAGACTCAGAGAACGTATGTATTTGTTCAAGATCACACAACTTGTAAAATGAGAAGCCCAGATTTCAATCCAGGTCTGCAAAGTTCACTTATTTGCGGTATGCAACACATTCATATACATCAAGGCAGTCCAGGAAGAGACAGGGATTTGGGTCTAAGTTTTACTTCTGCCACTAAGCTGTTGCATATCTCTCCAGGGAGAACATTTGTCTGCATTTTTTTTTTTTTCCACCGGCACAATTGGAGGGCAGAGAGAGGTGTTGGGAGGAGGGTTGATGAACTAGATCTATGTTTTTTTGGTTTGGTTGGGCTGAGCGGTTATCAGAATTCTTTTGGGCCAGGACTTGTTCTAATGTGGTTGTTTCCCTTGCCTGCTCTTACGAATTATTTGGGAATGGTACCTTTAGCTACTAATGGAAATGTATTATACCTCTCAAGTGAATGGGAGCAGAAAGAGGTGCCGGCTCCAAGCTTCCTCCTAGCAAGCTGAGGCTGAGAGTCTGACTCTGCTGAGGGGATGCTGCTGAAAGTTGAGAGACAACTTATTCACGGATCCATGCTTCCCTCCCAGCTGGACGAGAGTACCCACTGGATGCTCCCGGTTTGAGAGGAACGGAGATATGTGTCCTGCATTACTTGAGCGGCCTGCCTAGGCTCGTCTCCAGATTACAGAGACCTTCAAGAGAAGTTCGTGGTGTAAAATACATGGGTTCAAATAGGGGAGCGCGGACAACCCTCGCTGTGGGCGGCGGCTGCGGCCTGTCGCGCTGGTAGCGGGAACCACTTCCTTGTCCGCATAGCCCGCCCGCGTCCAAACCCCGCTGCTGCATTTCCCCCACCGCGCAGAGCTTCCGAAGCTGCAGGAGGGTCCGTCGGACTCCAAGGTGAGTGTCCTACCCGGCCCGGAGCCGGGTCCCTTTAGAGATTTAAAACGCAACGCTCTGGAACTCCAACTTCCCCGGCGCCCAGCCCGATTCCCAGGCGTCGGGGCCGGGGCAAGCCACTGAGGCTGCAGGGAAGAGGCCCCGAGCCTGTTAGAGCCCCGGCCCCGGCTGCGGTCCCGCCGGTGACCCAGGTGCGCCGCGCCCGCCCGAAATCTCGTCCGACGTCGCTCGGCACCTGTCGCGCCCGGAGCCCGCAGGACCTGCGCTCACCTCATTTCGGGGGCCCACAGCCCGTCCCCGCGCCTCAGGGCCCAGCTCCCGCCGCCGTCGCCACCACTGCCCGTGCCGCGGCCGCCGCCCACTTTCGGTTTCCCCGCACCGCCGGAGCCGCCCCGCGTCTCGGGAATCACCTCAAGCCCCCGCCCCGCCCTGCTCGGCCCGGCCCCGCCCCGCTTCGTCCCACCCCGCCCCGCCCCGCTTCGAGGGCAACCCGGCCTCGACTCTGCGCACGCGCGGGCGCCCCGGTCGCGTCGGCCCACGCTGGCGTCCGCGCGTGGGAAGGGAAACCGACACCGCCTAGCGGTTTCTGCGCGTGCCCACTCACCAGCCGGAGGCGGAAGACGCCTGCGGGCGGGGGCAGGAGCGCCTCCTGGTGGACTACGCAGGTACGCGCGGGCCGGGCCAACTGGGACCTAGCAGGGGGTGTGGGCGGCTGCTGCTATGGAGCTCACCCTCCTTCCAAACAGTTCAACTCCTGCACATTATTTTCTTCAACATCTGGAGCCGTTACTTTTTATTGCCCTAGACACCCACCCACCTTGTCCGCCCATATCCTTCAGGCCTTTCTCAAGCATCATCCTTTCAATGACGGTGGACACAGTCTCTAACATGTCAACCTCCTTCCTTGACATTTCCTATCCCCCTTCTCAGCCGTATTCCCCCTTGGCACTTATCTAGAACACTATATGTATTTTTACTTACGCTTTTATTGTCCACTATCATCCTAAAATTAAAGCTCTGTGAGGAAAGGATTTTTGTTTGGTTCCTTAACCTATTCCCAGAGCCTAGGATAGTGCTTTACACACATCAGCGATAAATATCCGTCAGATTTATTCATTCATTCTAAAATTATTGAACACCTAATAAGTGAATATGTATTTCTTCTGCACATTAATTCCACCGACACGTATTGGGCACCTGCTTCAGCCAACATTGAACACTTCTCCGCATCATCTGATATGCATTGACTGAGAACCTGCTGCTGCTTCAACCAGTGTTTTATTACAGCTTGACTGAAATGTATGACATACAATAAACTAAAGGTTTAAAATGTACAGCTTGATAAATTTTTCGTTCATATACCACTGTGAGACCGTTACTGTAATATATATATCCATCACCCCAAAAAGTTGTATTATTTATTGTTTATAATTTTTATCTTTTGTCCCACCTTGTCCCTTGCTCCCTGAACTGTTCACCTGCTTTCTCTTGCGATAGTTTGCTTTTTCTAGGGTTGTATTTAAAACTTTTATATATGGAATCGTATGCACTACCCTTTTGGGGGGCTGTCTGGCTTCTTTTATTCAGCAAATTATGTTCAACCCTGTTGTTACATGTAGTAGTAGCTCATGTCTTTTTATTGCTGAGTGGTACTGTAGGATGTACCAAACCTACCACATGGCCCAGCAATTCTTTCCCAGGTATTTACCTAGGAGAAATGAAAGCATATGTCCACACAAACACCTGTACAAGAATGCTCATAGAAATTTTGTTGATCATAGCCACAAATGGAAAGAATACAAGCATCTGTCAGAAGGTGAATGGAAATCAACTTATATTGAACACCAGCTGTTAAATAACAAATTTTCATAGAGTGTAGATAAGCCTGTGCCTATAGTGCTTTTGATTCAGCTGAAAGATGCAGTAGGCAATAAACAGATAAATTGGAAGTAGATCTGGAAAACCTGATATACAGTGCTCAGACATTTGGGTGTTTTCCCACAGGCAGTGGGGAATTGTTCAAGATTTTTACAGGGCTCTTCTTTAACACTGTTCTCTTCCATATCCCAGATCTGGTGTCTGACTAAGTTTACCTAAATGTCTCTCTCCTGAATTTCTCTGCATGTCCTTTTCTCTATTTCAGTCTATTTCAGACGCCTTTCTCCTTTCTCTCCCCTCCAGTCTACCCCAAACATGCAGTGGACTTTTAATAGACTTTGCTATGGTCTGAATGTTTGTGTCCCTACAAAATTCATGTTGAAACCTAATCCCCATTGCTGTGGTGTTGACAGGTGGGGCCTTTGAGAAGTCATGGTGGCTTCATCCTTATGAGTAGGATTAGCGCCCTTAGGGGCTTAAAGGAGCCTCTGCCCCTTCCACTGTATGAGGATTTAGCAAGAGGGTGCCATCTTTGAGGTGGAGAGCAAGCCCTCACAAGATGCCAAATCTGCTGGCACCCTGACCTTAGACTTCCAAGCCTCCAGAACTGTAAGAAATACATTTCTATTATTTATACATTATCTGGTCTAAGATATTTTGTTATAGCAGCAGGAGTGGGCCAAGACAGACCTAAAAGCCAGCCAATTTGGTCTCTGCAGTGCTCACAACATCCTGTGGCTCCACATTTTAGATGGAAAAGATGTAAAAAGCAGCTGCCAATGGAAAGGGTGCTAGCAGTAGTAGGAAATTAAAAAAAAAACAATTCCAGAGTTTCATATGTAGAATAAATCATAAAATCATGTGAGTTGACCCCAAGTTGGAGCTCCTTTATTTTTGAAAAGATGTTCCATGTTTAGACTGTTCTATGTATAAAGAAAAAGGAAGCTCTGCAGCTAGTTTTTTTAAACCAGCTTTATTGATAGTTGACATATAATAAATATTTAAATGTACAGTTTAATGAGTTTTGACCAATGTCTTTAATTGTGTATCTACCACCACAATCAATATACGAAATTAGTTCATAATTCCAAAACTTCTCCTGTGCCCCTTTACAGTTAATTCTCTCCCCAACCTTTATCCCCTAGCAGCTACTGATCTAATTTTTGTCATCAGAGGTTTGCCTTTTCTAGAGGATCACATAAATGGAATCATGCAGGATGTAATCTTTTGTGTCTGGCTTTGTCACTTAGCGTAACGCTTCTGAAAGTCATCCATGTTGTTGCACATACCAGTCATTGGTTCCTTTTTAGTGCTGAATAGTAAGCCATTGTATGGCTCTATCCCAATTTGTTTATTCATTCACATTTACATTTGTGTTGTTTCCAGTTTGGGTTATTACGAATAAAGCTGTTATAACAACCACATGAAGGTCTTTGTGTGGTGATATAGTTTTTTGTTATAAAGACTTAGGAATAGAATTTCTGGTTGTGGGATAGGTGTATGCTTAACTTTTTAAGAAACCGTCAATCCCAGCACTTTGGGAGGCCGAGGTGGGTGGATCACGAGGTCAAGAGATCGAGACCATCCTGATCAACATGGTGAAACCTCGACTCTACTAAAAATACAAAAAATTAGCAGGGCATGGTGGCGCATGCCTGTAATCCCAGCTACTCGGAAGGCTGAGGCAGGAGAATTGCCTGAACCCAGGAAGCAGAGGTTGTGGTAAGCCAAGATCGCACCATTGCACTCCAGCCTGGGTAACAAGAGCGAAACTCTGTCTCAAGAAAAAAAAAAAAAAAGAAAGAAACCGTCAAACTGTTTTCTAATGTATCTTCACCATTTTGGACTCCCACTTTTACTCCCTCCTTGGCAATGTATAAGACTTCCAGTTGCTCTAAATCTACTCCAATACTTGGTGTTGTCTGTCTTTCTAATTTTAGCCATTCCAGTGGATGTATAGGGACAGCAAACAGAGGTTTCAATTTGCATTTCCTCATGACTATTAATGTTGAGCATCTCTTCATGTGTTTAGTGGTCCTTCATATGCGTTCTTGGGTAAAGTGTCTGTTCTGCAAGTAGATTTTTGTCCAAGACATCAGGAGGTTCTCAGAATCACCTGGGTAGCTGACACAGCAAGGGCAGGTTAGGACATTGTGGGTTTTTTTGTCTTTGTGAAGTGGTCCAAGGCCCAGGGAGTTCAAGAATTCACCCTCATACCCTGGATATAATTGTATTTCAGGAAAATTAAGAGATATCAGAGATGGCACAGACTGGTTACTCTTTAGGCACAATGGTTCTTACCTTTTTATGGAGATGTCAGAATAGATGAAAACAAATTTTGATGTATGATCTCAGAGAGGATTTGGAGTCCTTAATGCTCTGCTGTGAACCCATGTTAAAAATTTCCTTCGAGGAAAGCATATATTCTGGGGCCAAATAGCAGAGTTTTCTAAATGAACAGGACTCAGGCAGAAGGCATTCTTCCTCTGCAAAAGCCCAAGCGTGTCTTTGGACAACAGGAGCCATGGCCAGGAGCATCTAGATCTCTTTTAAAAGAGGCAAGCACAATTTCTCATCCTCAAGGGCTGTAGAGAGGTCCTTTGTACTCTGCTTAAGGTGGCTTTTTGGGTAGGAAAGGTAGATTGGCGGGGGCATCAGTAAAAGTTCTTCTGGTCTTTGCAATACAGCCTCAGAACAATACGTTCCTCATCTTTCCTCTAAGAGGTTCTCAGACTTTATAGCCACCATAGGCAGCTTTGTCACTTGCAGAATTTAGAATGACAACTTGATAGACCTCTAGGTGCTGTCATCTCACTTCCCTTCTTCTCTATATTGACCCCAAAAAGAAACCAAAAACCAGAAACAAACTTTCATTTCTATCACTTTATGTCCCATTGAACGGACAACAGGGACTTGGTAATGCCCTTATTCAATGCCTGGAGTAGTTCCTCTCTCAGGAAGCCTTTTTCGAATCCCCCACCTCACAATCATTGCTCTTTTAGCTGAGCTTCTAGAGTGCTTTGTTCTTCAAATATATTTACAGCAGAGAGAACATAACAAGTGATTTTATATCTCATCTCCCTTGTGAACAACTTGAAAAGAGTTTACATTTTATTCACTATTCGATTGCAAATAATTTTAGCAATACTATTTGAAGCTGAGCAACAGCATGTTCAAAGTTATGTATACAGATGGAACCCAGCCACATGAGTGCTTTTTGCTTACATAAGGTCAGGAAAAATAGATCCACAACAAAAGGAATCTTTGAACAGATCTACTCTGGGTTAATCATCAACATCATAATCAGTGCCTCTCCCATCAGCTTTAATTGCCTCATGAACAGATGCAGAGGAATTTCTAGACAACTGCATTTGTTTCAACTGAGTAAGGAGAAAAGACAAAACAAAACAAAATAAAAAACAAAAGGGAGAGCTTGCCGGAGCCCTGCTAAAATCCAGGCCCTGGTAAAGCTAAGGATGTGCTGATCAAGCAAAACCCCCTAATCTGCCCACAAAGCCCTCCAAGGTGAGTCAGCTGAAAGGGGCTAATCCCCAGAAGGGACTGATCACCAAAGCTTTAGAGGCCACACAGCCACAGCACACTGGAAAACAGGGGATAATGAAAGCTTAAAGGGATATTGTGTATAGAAAGGTCATAGAACCAACAGAGGAGGGTCTTGGCTAAGAGGTCACATTTGCCCTCTCCTGAGTTGTAGTTCATTCATATAGCTCAGTCTTAGGACCCCAAAATAAGAATGATTCCAAGGATGTAGATATTATTAAGAGTTAGCTGGCTTAGGGGCCCAGCTGTGGGGTGGGGCATGGAGGTGAGGTAACTAATACTTTAAGCAAGGCAATCAACCACAATATGACTGATTCTGTAATAGTCAATAAACCAGATGGCACACAAATTATACTGCAATAGCTGCTAGGGGTGAGAAAGTGGGGAGGCAGTGTGAAGAAACTACATAGGTGCAGAGGAGGTGCTCGGTATAGGTGAGCTGACACTGAAATCAAAGAAGCAGACTGTATTGGAGAAGCATGGGCTTTGAAAGACGTATGCTATACAGGAAGAATCACTGCCCCTTAGGTGCTTGCCCTGGGATAAATCACTGTGGACTTGACCTTTTGTTAAATTGGAAGGTGGCATAGAATTCCAGAGCCCTTTGGTTCTGATTCTAGCCTCAGATTCCCTTATGTGGCAAAATGAAGATGAAAGTAGCAAAATAGCCTTCTCCTGGGGCTGTTTGGTGAATTTCTATTCATCAGTGGTTATCTATGGGAAATAACCACTCCCCATAGACACTCAACCACTCTTGAGACAGTGGCCTGCCACCCCCTCCCCCGCCCCTGAGCCTGGGGCACTTTGTTTTTTACTTTCAGGAGGTTATTTCGGTTGTCAAAAGATCAGGTGCACTTCCTGGCATTGAGTTGATGGGGCTGGGATGCTTGTGGTACTTCCCCCATGGAGGGGGAAGTTTCCCTTGTGAATGTTGTGCTGGTTATCTGTGTAGATGACAGACCTCTGCCTTATATATAAACACAAATAATTTTCCCCACAGTTTCACTATACAATGAATTTCCAATGCTATTTTTATCTGTGAATTTCACTTTAGGAAAGTAAATAAAGGGATTACAAAATATTTGTCATAAAACAGGGGTGCTGGGTCATATTATACTGCTACTTAAAATCCCCCAACAGCCAACCTCAACCAGAGAGAAGCTAATCAGGATACTCTTGTTTATACCAATAGACACAGGCGTACACAAATTTATCTTTATTAGAATTCCGTATCACCTACAAGATCACCTTACCTGCCCTAATGCTCACACCAGTTGGGGAAGTTAGAATCATTCTTTTTGGGGGTCTTTCTAGAGTTCAATTAGCCCCCACATTATATTTCCCCTACCATAAGTACAAGAGGTAATCTTCTTCCTCTTCTTCCTAATTCTCCCTCATCCTCTCACAATCAGTCTTTTTTTTTTAAAATTGGAATCATTTCTCTCAGCAGAAACTTTCTTAAAACAGGATGTTTTATATTTATAAATAGAAAAATATAGCACCTGGGAGCTAGCAGTTTGCTAAGGAGAGCTAGCAAGCTGTTGACTGGAGTGAGACAGTACAGGAGGTTTCCTCTAAGAATGTGGTTCTTAATCTGAGAGGGATAGTGTGTCAGCACTAATGTGGCATTTCCCTCCCTTTGTACACTGCAGGTTGAACTATAAACTCACTTCTAAATATCACTGTAATTATGGGGGATTTCTTTACAAGAAATTTGTTTGTATGTGTGTATGTGTGTGTGTGTGTGTGTGTGCATATGGTGTGTGCGTGTGTGTGTGTGTGCATGTGCAGCCTTAGGAGTGGCAGCCCACATTCCTGGTGTTACTTGCTGGAGCAAGGGTAAGCAACAAGAACTTTGTCCTTCAAATATTAGGTTTTGTGTTCTGAGTGTTATTTCTGCTTTTGATTGTTGAGGGGCCAGCACAGAGGCTGACAGCCATTGTTTTAACCTCCATGGGCTGAAGCAGCTTCCAGGGGATTTAAAGAGACAATACTCATATTCCCACCCCTGCCTCTTTTGGGAGCCAGACATTTAAGGAAATCTTTGTCAGGTCACTGGTTGATTACAGAAATGATGGAACAGAAACTTTAATGACCACACACAACAATATATATCTTGTAAAAATAGTTTTAAAAAGTCATAAATAGGTGGCCCAGCCCTCATAAATTTTCAGAAATCTCTGAGGCAGTGAAGAATTAGATTTCCAGTTACTGCAACATGGTATTTAAAATCTCTAGCTCTCAACAAACAATTACAAAACTTCTAAAGAAAGAGAAAAACATGGCCCATTCACAGAAAAAAAAGTTTACAGAAATCATTTCTAAGGAAGACTAGACATTGGAATTATTAGTCAATGGGATTAAGTCAACTGCCTTAAATATGTTTAATGAGATAAAGAAAACCATAAACAAAAAACTAAAAGGAATCAGTAGACTTATATATGAATAAAGAAAGAATATTAATAAATAAATAGAAATTAAAAAGAACCGAACTGAAATTCTGGAGGTGAAAACTATAATAATGAAATGAAAAATTTACTAGAGGCATTCAACAGCAGATTTGAGCAAGTGGAGAAAGTGTCTATGAACTTGAAGACAGGGAAGTGAAATTATCCAGTCTGGGGAACAGAAAGATGAAAGAATAAGTAAAAGTGAACAGAGGCTAAGGGCCCTGTGGAACACAATCAAGTGAATCAAATTTACAATATGAGAGTTTCAGAAAGAGTAGAGAGAGTGGGGAAAGAAAGAACATTTGAAGAAATAATGACTAAAAATGTCCCAAATTTGATGAAAGAAATGAATCTACAGATCCAAGAAACTGAACAACCTCCCCCCTGCTAAGGATAAACTCAACAAACTCCTAGGATAAACTCAAAGAGCTTCACCCCAAGACATATTATAATTGAAGTGTCAAAAGTCAAAGACAAAGACAGAATCTTGAAAAGAGAAATTATTAATCACACATAAGGACTTATCGATAAGATTAAGAACTGCTTTCTCATCAGAAGCTGTGGAGACCAGCAGGCAGTGGAATAAAAAAGTGCTGAAAGAAAAAACTCAAGGAAGAATTCTCTCTCTGGCAAAACTAGAAAGATCCTTTCAAAAATGAAGGATAAATTAAGACATTCACAGATAAAATCTGAGGAAGTTCATTACCAGTAGACCTGACCTCACAAGAAATGCTAAAGGGAGTCCTTGGGGGGTTGAAATGAGAGGACACTAGAGAGCAAATTGAAGCCATAGAAAAAAATAAAGATCTCTAGTAAAGATAACTGCATAGATTAATGTAAAAGCAGTATTACTGCATTTTTGGCTTGTAACTCTTCATTTCTTATGTGGCTCAAAAGACAAATGCATGAAAAGTAATTATAGATCTTTTAATGGGCATATATTAAAATGTGTAATTTATGGCCAGGGACAGTGGATCATGCCTGTAATCCCAGCACTTTGGGAAGCCAAGGTTGAGCAACTACTTGAAGCCAAGAATTCAAGACCAGCCTGGGCCGGGCGCAGTGGCTCAAGCCTGTAATCCCAGCACTTTGGGAGGCCGAGGCAGGTGGATCACGAGGTCAAGAGATCGAGACCATCCTGGTCAACATGGTGAAACCCCATCTCTACTAAGAATACAAAAAATTAGCTGGGCATGGTGGCATGTGCCTGTAATCCCAGCTACTCAGGAGGCTGAGGCAGGAGAATTGCCTGAACCCAGGAGGTGGAGGTTGCGGTGAGCTGAGATCGCACCATTGCACTCCAGCCTGGGTAACAAGAGCGAAACTCCATCTGAAAAAAAAAAAAAAAGACCAGCCTGTGCAACGCAGAGAGACCCAACATGTAAAATTAATTAATTAATTAATTAATTTTTAAAAATAACTAGGCAGAGTGACACAGGCCTGTATTCCCAGCTACTCAGGAGGCTGAGGTGGGAGGATTGCCAACAACATAAAAGTAGGAGGGAATGAACTGTATAGGAGCAGAATTTTTGTATGCTTTTGAAGCTAAGTTGGTATGAATTCAAACTAGGCTGTTAGAAATTTAGGATGCTGCAGTGGATTTTTTTTTTTTTGTAGAGACAAGGTCTCATTATATGCTCAGGCTGGTCTTAAACTCCCGACATCAAGCAATCCTCTCACCTCGGCCTCCTAAAGTGTTGGGATTACAGATGAGTGCCACCAGGCCTGGCTTGAAGTTATTTTTATTAAGATCAATTTTTTATGTAAATGACTTGATTTCTGGGGGGTCCACATAATAATTTACTGACTGTAGATTCTGCTATTGTCAGCTTTCTTTAGGTATTATTCCTACCAAGTCAAATTGGTATATCAAAATGTTAAATATACTTTTGGTACATTAATTTTCAGTGAATGATAAATTTTACCATGTGCAGTTTTAACCATGATCCGTTTTTGCTGTAGACTGAATGTTTGTGTCCCCCCAAATTCCTGTTTTGAAACCTGTCCCCCAGTATGATGGTATTTGGAGGGTGGACCTTTGGGAGGTGATAAGGTTGTAAGGGTGGAGCCCTCATGAATGGCATGAGTGCCCTTACAAAACAAGCCACAGAGAGCTCCCTCTCTGCCTTGCCATCTGAGGACACAGCAAGAAGACAGCTGTCTGTGAACCAGGGAGTTGGCCCTCACCAGATACCAAATCTGGGACTTTGAGCTAGGACATCCCAGCTCCCAGAGCTGTGAGAAATAAATTTCAGTCATTTACATGCCATCTAGTTTATGGTATTTTGTTAGAGCAGGCTGAATGCACTAAGTTTTATTTTGGGTGGATTCATTTTACTGGTAATATTTACTATGAGGGTCAAAGTGTCCTTGGGGTGAATGCATTGTACTTTTTACATTTACAGACTTTCAATTTTAACCCAGCTTTGTAGGGACATGCTGCTTGCCTTAAAGGTTTCACAGCTCTCAGCCCCTCCCTGCCCCATTTATGAAATAGGAAAGGATGTTCTCAGATTTACTTACAAGGTACAGGCAGATGAAAGCCAACACAGTGGCTCCAGTCATTCTGCTTGGGAATTAAAAGCAGGGGTCCCATTCATATATCCTGGTTTGGAACCAAGCTTTTTCTCTCTCTGTGAATGAATAAACAGTGAGAAAAGAGCGGCTGTGATAGGTAAACAAATGCCCGATTCATCTGAAAACAACCCCATCCCTTCCTCTCTATCTTGGCACTTACTGTAGAGAGAGAGAGCACTGTTAGTTTCCACGGTTTTCATTCTCCCCTTATTCTTATGTACAGATACGCAGTTTTATTTAGGGCAGCAATTCACTACACTAAAAGACTAAAGTTGCCAACCTCTCTTGCCCCTAAGAATGACCAGACTAAGTTCAGGCCCATGAGATGTGACCACAGTGTGGTATGGGACTTTGGGGAGACTACTCAGATGGAACTGACATAGCTTGCAGCAGGGCGGGGGGTTGGGGAGGTTGCCCTGCCTTACCTGCTGTCTGAAATGCAAACATGGTGGCCAGTCGAGGCTGGAGCTCCAGCAGCCACATTGGACCATGAGACCACATTGAGGATGGAAAGCACATACAAGATGCTAGAACAGAAAGACAGGTGATTCATGAACCATGGTGGTCAGTCCCAGGTCAGTATGGACAACCTGCCTCCGAGTTATTTTACATGAGAAAGAAATAAATA